AGGCCGAGGTAAGAATTCTGATGGAGGCCGTCAGGGGTTTAAGCAGAGGAATTGACCTGATTCGGCTTCTGTTTTAAGGAGACACTCTGACTGATGTATGCAAAAGACCCAAAAAAGCAGCGTGACCAGTGAGGACACCATGAGAATAAGAAAAATCCTGGCAGGAGCTGATGGTCATCTAGACTGGGGAGGTATCTGTGGAAGTGATGAGAAATGACTTTGACTCCTGATATGTTTCAAAGAGCTGACAGGCTGAGTAGTGCTGGGACCTACCTCCTACCCCTCCAGTGGGGTTTCCCCTCCATGCCCCACCTTTCTCTGCCGTGCCTGGGGCCCAGGAGGCTGATCCACACAGGCTGTCCTCTGTCTCTGTCCTCCCTTTGGGTTTGGCTCATGAGAAATTCCTGCAGCAGAAGATCAGAAGGCAGGTAACCTGAGTTCGGAATATTGTTCCCCCTTTCCTCCTGCCACCACGAGTTAACTGTGACTGTCTTCCTGGGCTGCAGCCTCCCCTTCAGCTACCCTCTCCGGATTCCAGGAAGCCTTTCCCAGTCCTCCCTTCGTTACACCTGGGGGTAATGCCAGTTCCTGCTGTCACTAGCTCAAGGGTGCGCCACTATCCTTTATTGGTTTTCCTGAACCTCGCCCACATTTATAAGTAGTCCCTTTAATAAGCTTTCCTCAAATTCTTGTGCTCTTGACTTATACTGGGAACTGGGGCATCTAATGTAGTAAAAACAGCGGAACTTTTTTTTTTTAATCACAGTTATTTTCTCCTTTTTCTCCCCAATAAAATGTTAAATCCCTGGGGACAGAAGCAGTAGTATTCCTGTTTCCAGTACCATGACGTGAAGTAGGTAGGATTTGCTACAGTTGTATCAATGAGTGTTATGTGTAATGATGCCACCTGGGTCCTTATAAATTGCCTACATTATGTTTGATATGAAAGATTAATCAAAAGTATGATATGTGTGTGTGCGTGTTTGTATGTGTGTGTATCCATCTTAGTGCTTAACAGGTATAAGCTCCCCCTTGTTGGATAATTCAATTCCCTGGGATCAAAGAGACTTTTAAGAAAAAGTTAAGTAGCTTTTATATTACTCACTGTTCTTGTGAAGCTATCGAAACAACAGTTTTTGATTTTACCAATTGTTTCTGAACTGCTTTCTCAAGAAAATATTTTTTTTCCAATGACTTTAAAGGTGGGTTGTGATTTATTGCAGTTACCTGTTAAGTTACTGACTTATTTGTGTAACACCTTAATAGCACTTATCTCCACAATATTTGGTTATATACAGTCATAAGATTATCAATGTGACTGTTTTCCTATCAATTCCCACCGTAGCTGCACTTTATTATTGATGTTTTCTGTTGATCTAAAGAATAACTTTTCTTCACATATTTTTAATTATACTTACAACTTTGTAACTTGCTTCTTCCTTTCCTTCCTTCCTTTATTTCTTCCTTTCTTTCCTTGACTTCTTTCTGAACTTGACTTCTTTCTGTTACTTCCTTTGGGCAAGACCTTTAAACAGTAGCTGGGCAGCCTTGAGGTGTAGTTTTAATAAAACCTTTGCTGAGTAATCATTTGATGTAAAAGCCCAACCAAGTCCATTAATAGAAAAAAGAAAGCGATATCTTTTCAAGGTTAACTTTCTTTGTGCTTGCTCCCATGAATAACACACACTCATTAAATTCATTTAATTTTTGCCTGGATTTAACTATATTAATGTTCCATTTTTCTAATAAGGAGAACCCAGATCCATAAGTTTAAGAGAGCAAATTGTCAAAGGATTTATTCATTGAAGACAAATTAGAGCCATGGAGTTTTGTTTATTTAAAATTGTAGCCAATACCTTAGGAAAATGTCTAGGAATCCCCTATTGATTGTATAGTTTGTTGTTTTTTTTAACTAAAAAGATATAACCTTTCTCTTTTTCTTCTTTTCTCCTCTTAAAAATATTTTGATATTATTAAATATTCTCACAACCTAAATAAATATATGATTTTTTTAGAGATAAACATAATATACTTGAAAGCACTTACTTATTTGGTGAGTTTTAAAATGAATTTGATACTTCATTTGAAAATTGAATAAGCAGTTGACTTTACTGAAGCCGGAGTGATTTTGAAATCTATGGGATGTGTAATAGCTCTAATCGATTTGAAAACTAGTCTTTCAGGGAGTATTACCAAACATTAACTATCTGTATAGTTCCTTTCACCTCTGCCGACTCTAGTAGCAGGTAAATTATGACTCTTTGTGGAGTATTATTTATTGTTATCCGTTTGGAAGATCATTATGGTTGTGAAATAGTGAAATAATGAAAATATGAAATAATGAAACATAACAAGCATTAACTTAAATAATTTAATTTTCTGAAAGTTTCCTAAGCTTTCTATGAAAGAGACAATGTATTTTGAACCTCCACTTTCCCAGGAAAAAGGTGACCATGTTTACCCTGAAATCCCCATGCTGAGTACAGGGGAGGGAGAGAGAGCTGAAAAGATTGATCTGATGGCAACCACTTGTTTGAAAAGCTGCCTGGTTCAGGCTTTTCAGAGTAAACTGTGCCTCCTTCCCCCATTCCCCAGCCCAGTGACCTTACACAACTTACTTATTTTGGCCCTCAATAAAATGAGAGGGGTTTACCATGTTATTTATTTTTGAACTCCGCTCCATGGAGCACTAGGGTTCCTTGGAGTCTCCTCAAGAGTTCTACGGTTGGACATAGGAGGACCAGCCTGAGCAGTATCTTTTGTAATTTTTTTTTTAAATAAAGGCTTGTGTAGTTCAAAAAAACCTTAATCACCTGTAAGGTCTCTTCTAGCTCTATAAAAGTGTACTGTTCTGTTTGCAGGGGTTTTTTCTTTGTTTCTTTTGGGGGGGATAGCCTTGTAAATACAGTTGAAAGGTAAAAGTACTAAGTTAGTGTTTGATTTGGAAAGGCTAAGTGAATGAGCTCATATGAGAGCATCACTTTCCTTTAAAAAGAAAGGGGTGGGGAGAAAAAACACAGGATTTTAGCACTGGAAGAAAATCCCCATACTGGGACAAAAGCTGGGAATTGGCAACAGTGAGAGGATTTACGATAGCTCATGAAAAGTGAAAAACTAAAGAGAATATTTGGTCCAACTTTTTAAAAAAAATTTGAGATGATAATCTTATAAACCAGTTTCTTTGTATTTTAAATACAATGTGCCCCACTGTTTGCTTTGGGCAATTTTTTCAGCTCCCTGGTGAGGTAAATCATTATTCCTATTTCACAGCACATTGCTTCAAAAGTTATTTATGGCTATTTTTAATTACTTGTCTGTAAATAGAACTGCTAAAGCTACTTGAGTTATAGTTTCATATTGTCTATGGCATACCCAAACAAGCATCTGTATTATAACTAAATAGTTAGATCAGTTTTCTAGCTAGTTGTTGAGGCCTAACTTTTTTTTTTCTTTGTCATCTTATTGGGATGAGAACAAGGGAAGTAGTGGTTACTCTTGGACCCTACATTCAGCAATTTGTCACATTTCTTTCCCTACATGGTCTCATTGGTTAATAGCACCCCAGAGACAGGCAACCTGGATACAAATTCTGGCTAAATGAACTGAAGTCATTTTATTTCTCTGTGTCACCAATTCCCTTGTAATTATATAATTATGTTTCCTATCTCATAATGGTGTCATGAGGAATAGGTGAATTGATATACGTGATGCACTTAGTACAGCCCTTAGCCTACAGCTGGCATGGTTTCATGTGTTAGCTGTTATTATAATATTGAGCAGAAATTTTAGTCTTTAATGAAAATCCATCCTACTTGAGAGATAAGAGTCTGTGTACTTAGGTAGGTGGCAAGGTGTAAGTTTGTGAGAATGAGCTCACGAAAATTTAACATGGCAGCATTCTGTGAAAGGGATTGGTACAGAGACACTGGAGTCTCAGGGACCACTTAGGATGCTCTATTCCAATGTCGTGGACTACTGTGTTAGTCCATTCAGGCTGCTGTAGCAAAAATACCAAAGACTGGGTGGTTCATAAACAACAGAAACTTACTCTCAGGACTCTGGAGGCCTGGAAGTCTGAGAGCAAGATGCCAGAAGGTCCTATGTCTAGGGAGGGCCCACTTCCCAGTTTATATATGGCCGTCTTCTTGCTCTGTCCTCACATGATGGAAAGGCTGAGAGAGCTCTCTGGGGGCAGCTTTTAGAAGGGTGCCAATCCCATTCATGAGGACTCTGCCCTCATAACCTAATCACCCCTCAAAGGCTCCATCTTCTAATACACATTTGAGGATTAGGATTTTAACATTTGAATTTTGGGGGGACACGAACACTTGATTTATTGCAACCACTCTTGTAGTATTAGAGTAGAAAAAGGAAAAGGATGTGTGAAAGATTACAGGCTTATTATGTCCAGGGGAAGAGGAAGAAGACACTAACCTTAGACTTTCAAACTGGTTAACTAGCATTATGGATATAACAAACCCAGGATTGGTCTTTGGTTTCCAGACAGTTTCTATATATTGAGAAATAAGGAATGCAAAAATTTTAAGATTAATAAAGGTTAAATATGATCATATATTATACTATATTATTTATATAATAATTAAATAGCTATTAGTCTTCATAAGTAAGCACATAGATAAGAATTAGATCTTTTAAAGAATTTTCCTCCTTTAAAAAAATTTACATCCTAGTTTTTCAATTCTTTCATTCAGGTTCCTACATTATATTGTATCCAGCCTAGAGAGTTGTTATTTTTTGGTTCTTGTGTCCCAAAACTGTTGATGTAGTGATGCGAGGAACTCAGGCATAAAACCTGTTGAGAATTAAACCATTGCCTTCTGCATTTAATCCAACATACATATACATATATACATACACACACACACGCACACACACACACACACACACACACACATATAATAAAATATACACACACACACATTACTCAGAGTTGCAAATAATTTTAGTCTATTGTTTCATAAGTATTTTTTTATTTCCAGGTTCGATGGATGATGTACTGGATTGTTTTTGCTCTCTATACAGTGATTGAAACAGTAGCAGATCAAACAGTTGCTTGGTAAGTTCTAACATTGAGAAATGGCCAGACTATGGACTCTTATCAGGTGTCCTGAGTCCTTATCCTGCTGTTGCTATTAACTAAGTGAATTTGATCAAGTTACATAAGTATCCCATGTCTCATTTTCTCCTGGTATCCCCACAAGAATATTATTTTCCTTATAGTCGTTCTTAAGTAAAGGCAGCTCATCCTTCTCTGCGTGTGCCCCTCCCTGCCCGTCTCCCACACACCTCTCGGTATCTTGGAATACAGAAACTTGGTTATCATTATCCTTTTTCCACACTGATGACTTCAGACTATTTTTCTTTACTACTTCCTAAATGACTCCTCTTTTAAATCCCACAGCATCTGGTTTTAGCACTTCCCATCCTTAAAATGTTTATCCACAAACATTCAGACTGGATGATGTCAACATCCACATGGACACCCCCTCAATACCAGCTCCTTGACTGCTCTGTTACAAACAGTATGAGGCAGAATTAAAGCATGCTTATGTCCTCAAGGATTTAACATTTTACTCAGGAGCAATACTTAATGCAACAACTTGAATCTCCTTGTGCTGTATTTCAGTAGTGCATTTCCATCTAAACCTTGCCATCACTTGGAGAAATGCTCCTTTCAAACTTTGAACTTTTACTACCTTGCCACGATCTTCAGCTGCCCTTGCTGCACAAACCTTCAGCCTAAATTAGCCCCAAAATTGCTCTTCTTTACTTCTTTACCCACGCTACCAACTGAGCTGCAAAAAAATCAATCAGTTGCTCATATAGGTATCAATCTGACAGTCACCATTCCTTTTGCTTCCTTTTGGTCAGCAGCTACTTCCATTCCCTCTTGTATGAGTTTCAAACATTTACTGTTCTCCCCTTAAACTGTCTTTCTGACTTTGCTATTCTTATATTTTCATAGCACATTAGGTCACATTGGGTTACTAGGAAAAAACAGAAGTCGTCAGACTTAAATGTTCTTAACAACCTATCCTTATTTATCAACTTCTCTTTCCATCTGTCTTTCTGTTCCTCCCTCTGTCTCATATGTCATTCATTTATCTTTTATGTTTTGGTGTTTAGGTTTGGGGAGGGTTTTCTGTTTGCTTGTCTTAAGTGGAATAACACAGATTTTATACCATGCTAGGCTCTTAAGTTTCCATGTTCTCTCTTTAAAGACTTTTTTTTCTGATTGCAAATGTAGCATATATACATTATTAAAAAGTAAACGACGTAGAAAAAGCTTACCACAAGCAAATGACAGTCCAGAAACTCCTCTGTAATTGCACTGTGCAGAGATCCTTTGTTGACTACCCAATAGTCATTCTTCACTGGCCCCTGCCCATGTGCCCATGTGCGTCATCAGAAGAGCCCAGATTTTTTTTAGTTACTGTGTATCTTAGTACATCATGGACCACAAGGTGCTGGTCCACTCATGATATATTAGTTAACTTTTGCTATGGTAACAAGCAACCCTAAAAGCACAATGGGTTAGCAAAACAAACATTGATTTCTTGCTCAGGGTACCTGAAGGCAAATGGTCAGTTGCAGCATTGCTGAGCTCCACTCAGTTTTAAATGTCTTCTTGTTCCAGGACCAAGGCTGAAGAAGTACCTGCTCTCACGGCAGAAAACAAAAGTTGAAAGCAAGAGATTGGGGTGTTGGGGTGAGGGCGTCAAAGGGCATTTAAAGCTTCTCCTTGCATGTGATATACGTCACAATCACATTCCGTTGCCTAAAGCAGGCCACATGGCTAAACCCATGGTCATTGCTTGAGGAAGTTTACTTGGCCTTCAGAGAAGGCACTGCAGAATCATGTGGGAAAGGGGTGTGGGTATTTGGCCTAATTCCCAGGCTACTACGATGGCAATTCCATTCTTGCAGTAAAGTGCTGCAATTCTGACCAAATTAAATTAGAGGGGAGGTTTTCTGGAGTTAAGAGTCAGAGGATGTGTGTATGGGGTAACATTGTACAGTTGGAGCTTATAAAGTTGGCTCTTGATGCTGGGAGGTGTGTCCAGGTACTGCTATGGCAGCTGGGCTCTGCAGACAGGGTGGGTGTACCTTACTGTCCTGGTTATGTGCTCTTAATGTCGTCTCTGAACTGCTACAGTCAGGTTGGCAGCCTGCCTAAGCAGAGAAATCTTGTATTAGGAGGTGTGAATCTTGGCGGGGGTCAGGCTCTGATTTACCTAATTAATGAAATTAATTTGTCAGTTCAAACATAGTTGTTTCTCTGATCACAGCTTTTTATATGTAAAAACTTAACACAGTGACTAAACTTTTTAAAAGGGTTTTTTGTGATTTCCTCATTGTTTGTGGTTTATTTTCACTGGCGTTTTTTTCCTTTTTTTTCGTTAGGTTCCCCCTATACTATGAGCTTAAGATTGCTTTTGTCATATGGCTGCTCTCTCCCTATACCAAAGGAGCAAGTTTAATATATAGGAAATTCCTTCATCCACTTCTTTCATCAAAGGAAAGGGTAAGATATATAAACTATTTCCACAAATCGTTTGTTAGAAATGTACATCATCACATGCTATGTGTTATAAAATGAGTTTCTATTACAATAGAGAGAAGTCCTAATTTTTCAGCTTCTTAACAAACAATCTTTTTTAATAAAATTAATACCTATGGGTTTGTTTTTTCCCCCAGGAGATTGATGATTATATTATACAAGCAAAGGAACGAGGCTATGAGACTATGGTAAACTTTGGGCGGCAAGGTTTAAATTTAGCAGCTACTGCTGCTGTCACTGCAGCAGTGAAGGTAATTTTTTACTTACATTTTTCAATCCAGTGTCACTGTGAGTCAATGGATAAAGTGAGGTAGCTTTCTATTTCAGATGATTATAAAATTCTGGCATAATTTTACCTTCTGTTTATTTTTGTAATACTAGAGAAAAAAAGTAGATAATTTTATAGACATTTTAACATGTTTCCTACAGCTGTTCAATATTTATGAAACTCTTAATTGATGACAAAATGAGAGTTAGTGAATAAATAAAACATACCAAAAATGTCATTTTGTCATAATTTTCCTACTGTGTAACCTTAAGTACTTTCAAGTAAATCTCCTTTAGTAAAGATGACCATTCTTTCTTTCTCTGTCTGGTGTTCTCTCACTTTCTCTCCATGGCAATATCTTGGTAGGATTTCTGGCTTACTTCTGCACCCATACTTCAACCAATTTGAGGTAACTGACTATTCAAAATAAGGCATGAAAAATTTCTGTTCTTAAAACTTAAAATTTTACTTAGAAATTACTAATGTCATGTGTTGTGTTTTGCAAGCCAAATTATCAAAGGAATGCCTTCTGTGAAAATTTGCTTTATGCCTTTGGATTTCTTTGCATGTAGTAATTATTGTGGTTTATTTTAAATACTATAGCATAATTGGTTTTGGTGTGTAGTATATGGAAAGAAAATGGGCTTCTGATCCAGAAAGTGCTGAGTGTGACTTTCTAAGTAACCACTGGTGATTTCCTTAAACTTCTCAATTAGGAGGATGTGGGAGAGGAGAAACTGAAGTGGAAGAGAACTAACGTCCTCAGTTGCTGTATATGAAAGTAGAGGGTTTAACGTGGTTGCCTGCAGGGGGATGGAAAGAAGGGGACCAAAGCCATCTTGCTTTTCTTTTGTTACAAAATTTGGCGTTATTTAACTTTACAAACGAAGTACATGTATTCATTTACAGCTCAAAGAAGATGCTTTCTGACTTTTCCACATTTAAAAGCA